ATTTTTGGCGTTCCACTTCACATTTTTGTCATCACTTCAACATGAAAAAAAGGATTAGAAAACTAAACTAAAATAGTTCTTTCTATATTTGCTTGGCTAAGGGGGCAATTCTGAAGAGTTACTTTTAGAAGAGCTGTACAGAGATGGACATGATACATAAAGATAGAATTATCTCAGTACTTACCATATATTTCTTTTTGGTTTGTTACTTTTTTACCCCAGACAATACTATTTTGTTACTTTCCTTTCGCCCAAAATAGATGCCGTGTGTCCTTTACTCATGCAGGCCACTTTGAGCTGGTATTGTGTCCACAGAATATGCAGACTTGTGTGTTCATGAGAGCAGCTGAGTATACTGAACTGGCTTTACACATGGTGGCATTTACATACTGTTCCAGTCCTCTTCTTTATTTTCTGTAACCTAAACCAAGTACTCTTGCTTTCTAACCTTAAGTAAGTGATGTTATCACCTAAACTCGAGCAGAAGGGGAATAAGTGTCATATCAAGTTGTTGTGTTGACAAGACAACAAAGCAATCTGGGAAATGATATGTATTCAGCCACTCACATTGAAGTTTGTCATGAAATTGACTAAAAGCAGCCTGAGAGTGAAAATCCTTCACTCTTAAACATTGTGGAAGTTGTTATTTAGGGATGAAAAGGGGTTAAAATTATCCACTTAGTAATGTACACAACTTGTAATCTATGCTTTAGTACAAGGCTGGAGTTAATTCACATTTTCTTTTTTTCTGGAACCAATCTTAAATCCTGTATGTATATAAAAACAAAAAGCCTGCTTTTATTTGTCTTTGTCTATTCAGAATAGTGGTAAGTATTGTTCTGTTATACTTCCCTCAGCTGTTATATCCCCCTGTCCTCCTCATTGTCTAATCATTATTATATAACTAGAAAAAGATAAGAAAGTCTGAAAATTGTATAGTGTTTCATATTCTGTGATTTCAAATGAAAACTCCACAAACTCACAACCTAAAAAAGATTACATATCAGACTGGGATAAAGTGGAGGGACTAACCAAAGATTACAAAAACCACAAAAAGAGACTGATTTTAAATCTTCACCCTTTCACATGAGAAAATGAGAGTGGAGACCAGCAGAGAGGCCAGTTTCCCTCACACTGTGAGCAGCTGCTCACCTCTTCTGGCTCAGAGGGACAAAGAAGCACACATCCTGAGGCCGCTGCTCTGGAAACAAAACCCCCAAACCTGACGGCCTAGCGGAAGCTAATATGACAGTATCTTCATCCTGGATCTGTCCTCATCTCCTCAGCGCTCTCCTCTCACTCCTCACTGTATCGTTTTACTCTTTCGTCTATCTGTTACCACTTGTGACTACCAGCTCTCCACCCTCATCTGGTTTCCTCCATTCAACAGTCACTCCTTTAACTTTTACCTCTCGGTGGTTTCTCTAAGCTAATTGTTCCTTTCTCCTTTTACAGCTTCCTGTTTTAAGAGAGATTAAAATTTTCATTTTAATCTCTCTAACCTCAAATGCTACATTTCTTATTTTTTTGTCTGTTAATAGGATGTGTTGGAGTTCAATTTGGGGAGAAAAGGGTAACAGGGGTAAAGGTGATATGAATGTTATTAGGCCAGAGGCGGGTTACAGACTGGACAGGTCCCCAGTCCATCCCAGGGTCACACAGACTCACATTCACTCCCAAGTACAATTTAGAATCATCAAATAATTCAACATGCATGCTTCTGGAATCTGGGAAAAGTCTGGAGCATCCAGAGGAAGGAATCCACGCATGCATGTGGAGAAAATACGAGCTCCACGCAGAAAGGACTTGTTAACCCGATTATTTTCTTGGAAACCTGATAATAAACCAGAGTAGATCAAAAGTATATAAATTACATTTATTGGGTCACAAGAAAAGTATTTCAGCGCTGGTCTCTTCACAGACAAAAAATTCTCTCTCAGGGTCTCAGTCGGCCAGTCGAAAATAAAACAATCAGTAATTTACATAGATCATGTGATAGCATACAATGCTAAAGTGAGTAATTATAGCCAAATTCTAACAGACTCCAGCTGGGAATTGAACAGGGGACCTCCGAGGGAAAAAATGAGCAGCCCACCAGCTGAAAATATGTAAAATGTTACTGGGAGATCAATATAAAAACACTTACATGTCTTTAATACCCTGAATATTCCGCCAAATATAAACAGAGACTGAAATGGGACACAAAGATGAATATTGTTTGCTGGATGTATCTTTACCTAAGAAGCAGGATGTGAGAAATTATGTTTTTTTTATGCATCTGAATCTAAAGGCCTGAGAATAATCTAATCCTGGTTATTGGCCATGTCTCTTGTGTATGAATGTCTTATGATTCCATGACTATTTTGATATTATGTACTCTAAATGCTGTTTTTAGTGTTATGCATTAGCATTCCTCACCTTAGAGAGACTCTGGCTCTCTAAGGTGTTCTTTTTCCCATCATATTACAGACCCACTGCTCATTAATACAGAGAGGAGTCAGATGATTTGTGGACATCTGTCATTAAACTGTGAAGACAGATCGAGACCTGGGTGACACCTTTAAAGCTCTGAGTGCCCCCAGGGGCGCAGTGGCCACAGAGATGATGAAAAAGAAACTTTAAGCCACTCTTCTGTCTTTAAAAAGGCCACAAAGAAACCATAAATCACTCTTACTGCAATCCAGGAGTCCTCTACAGAGGAGAGTAGAGTATCCAACGTGGCACGAGACAGACCGTGAGGGTTAGTGCTCGTGTTCCAGTTGGATGGTTGGTGGTTTTTGTGGAAACGTCTAGGTAGGAGACACCCTTCATTTGCTCATTGGCGTGTACAGTGTGAATATACCATGTATACAATGCAGAAGTGGTGGGATTTTGTATGTTTGAAAAGTAAAGGCTGTTTAGAGTGTAGAACAGGTTATATATCAAATTCGCTATATATTTGTTGCTGATCATCAAAAATGGAAGCAGTGTTGGTAAAATGGCAGCCAACCTCCTTTCTGATTTTAAGAATGGATCTAAACAGACTGAGTGGTGAATAAAGATAAGGGTAAAGATTCTCTGATGTAATCTTAAAGGGCCGATGTTATTGGAATGATGCTTCATCTTGTTTCTCTCTTATGTAGAGACAGGATAATTGTTTAAAACTGGATCGAGATTGATTACATAAAATGCATTCACAGAAAAGCTGCTCCTGAGTGTGTTCTGGGACTGAGACTGGACACTATTCTGGTGACAATGTCCAGCAGAGTCAGACATTTTAGCTTCAAAGGACAAAAAATTGACAGAAAGACATGATGATTTCAATTCAAGACCATTTCCATTAAGTTTGGTCACACCTGAGATGCCTGTCCTTGGTTTAAAAGGGAAAAAAAGCACTCAGCTCAACCCACTTTGGTTTTAATTGGTAACTCCTCCCAAATGTGGAGTTCCAACCAAATGCAAACCATCTAAATTATGTATTCAAGAGCCTTGTTGGCCTTGAGATAATGCAGAACTATTTAGATACATCTGTTTTCTTTTACGACATGGCATGGCTGAAAATGTGAGAAACAACATATGACAAAACACTATTTTAATTTTTAAAGTATCAACATGGTTAGGCGGAAGGAACTGCTTTCGTCATCCAAAGCAGATTCAGTATTCTGTCGTGCCTGAGTTGTGCTTTGTAGGGAAGAGCCAAAGAGTCCCTGAGCTGGTAGCTTGGAGAAGCGGTCCCCACGCTGACACCTGACGTCCCTGCTGGCTCTCCTCCCCCCCCCCCTGCACCCCCCTCTGCGCCCCCCCTGTGCGCCCCCGCTTCTTCCTGCGGGACGCGGAGCTCCGCCTCGGATGATGAGGCTGCCGCCGCCGCTGTTGGGCTGATCCGGGAGCTGCGTCTCCTTAAAGCGACACCGGGCCTCGTTATTAGCCTCCGCGGCCGGAAAAGAAGCGACGGGAGGAGGAGGAGACGCTCCGGGGGAGCAGCCGCATCCATCTTCCCTCCGCCGGATGCCGCGCGCCGCCTCCTCGTTTCACCGCCTCGGGGTTATGAAATCGGCTGTAATCTGACCCTCCTTAGAAAGATTCGTAACCCCCCCCCCCTCCTCTTCCTCCTCATCCCTCCCTCCATCCTCCGCGCTCCATCCCGGGACGCACCGGAGCGTCGGTGCGTCACGTTCGGCTCCTCCGTCCCCTCTCTGTCCCATAGATGCTCAAATCGGCAGCTCAAAGCGACACCTCCCCCCCCTCCCTCCCTTCCTGCTCGAAGACAGTCAGAGGGGGCCTGTAGATAGCGTCAACACGTCCACGGTTACGCGCACCCACCGGTTCCGGCCTTCTGCGTAAACCCGCGCCCCCCCACTCCGCAGATGGAGCCCGCTGCGAGGTAACGCGACCGCCCTGCGACACCTCCCGCCCCCGCCCCCCCCGCATGGAGCCCTGACGCCCGCCCAGCCCCCAGCCTCAGCCCGCCGCCGATGAGCTGCCCCCGGCTCCCCGCGCTGCCCGCGTCCTGGCCGCTCGCGGAGCGTGTGATCCGGGGGGGCGGCTGCCCGCCGCGGGGCAGGATGGTGCGCGTCGCCAGCGCGCTGGGACTCATCATCTTCAGCGTGGCGCTGCTCATCCTGTCGCTCATCAGCTACGTGTCCATCAAGAAGGACTTCCTGCTCGGAACGCCCAGATACGGAGCCAACGGGGGGCCCAGGGGGACCTACATGTTCCACGCCGGGTTTCGGTGAGTACAGGCCAGGTCTCCTGCTCATTGCAGCATCTCGGTGTTTGGATTTGATCCCCCCCCCCCTCCTATACATTTAAGGAGCAGGTTGCCTTTAATGTGGTGGCCATCAGAACAGCACCTCTGCTTGTGTTTCTGGGATGAAGCAGCTATGAGCACCTTATGCTTGAAAAGAAAAAAGCTAAATAACTCAGGGGGGTGTCATCCTGTCCTTGGAAGGCCTGTCTGGCCTGGTCCTGTCATTTTGCTCTCAGACCACCTTATTAAAGTCTTCAGGCTCATCATTTATTCTCCAAGTATAACATCCTTGTGAAGTTTTCTGAGTAAAACAGGCGAATAGTGACCTATTAAAAATATAATGTCCTGTTCTATTTATTTTAAAATCACGTGGTCAAGGGGAAATAGAAAGGGGAACACCAGAAGACATAATAGAACACAACTATAACGTGAATCTAACCAGCCAAATGCAGCTGTGCTGTGTGTTTGTTATGGTGGAGGGCTTTAAAGCTAGACACATTAAAGGCCTCACATCTTTAGCCATCATTTTGCAGAATTGCATTCGTTGTGTCGTTGTGAATAGCAAGCCATCAGCTCTGGACACCATGGTGTAAATCTGTACTTGTGAAGTCAGCATCGAGTGTCTGGTGACACTGACATACCAGTATTCCTTTTTCCAAAACATCCTCACATGCATATATGTGAGGAGAGATTGTAGGGCACTTTATCATCGTCACACCAGCTCACATTTACATGTTTATGGTACAAAGTTGGGATTCAGATCCCAGTTTTAGAAGCCTAATAGATAAGTATACAAATCAAGAGGTTGAAGAACAACAAGAGTAAAAATATAACCAAAAAATCTAACCAACAGAGAGCAAAAATGTATATATAAATAAACGTAATAATTGTGAAATTAGCTTTGCTAAATGGCAAATACCCATGGAAAAATGCACTTTTAATTAATGAAATATTGCACCTGTGCATTTTTGTTTGAAGTATGGAACAGAACTTAGTTTAAGTGATGGATGAAGAGGGTTTCAGAAAGCCTGTTAGCCACACAGCTAAGCTAACAAGAGCTCATGGAAACTCCAGTGTCTCCTTTTTACCCATACAGGAAGACACAGATTTGAACTGTGTCCGGGATCCCTACAGAGCCCTACATGGGACGTCCTGCAGGACTTTGAAGGGGAATAGGTCCTTATGCACTCCTGATATTAATCCGGTGCAGTCCTCCTGGTGAATCAGCTAAAAATCGGTGCACTTGCATCCCTGAAAACTGCAAGCAGCAGCAATTTTTAAAAAAGCCCCAGAAATATTGATATGTACATGATTAAGTAGACAGGCACGAATGCATAGGATTTAAATAAGTCACAATTAGTTAAATGTGGAGTGGCATAGCTTAGCTTTCTCAGCTATTTTGATCACATGCAAGCTATGGAAAACAAGAGGCAAATGTCCATACAAGGTAAATGACCATTATGTAACATCTAACATCATATTAAAAACAAATGGAGGGATGTTTTAACATGTTCCCCACAGGGCATGTTCTGAAAGCATCCACACTCACTCTGTGTTTCTCTAAATGAACGGCTTGTTTGAAACTATGTGGTTTATCTGGTGTCAGAAGTTGCTAAAGGCCACAGAAACCCGAATCAGTCAAGTCTGCTTCCTCTTGACCCGTTCTCCACTTGGCTCGTTCTGCTTCTCTGTTACCACTCATTTTCCTCCACGGTGCCACTTTTATCACACTTACTGCAGAACAGAACTATCGTTAAAAGAATCACAACACAGTTGTTGTGATTCTTTTAATGATAGCCCTGCTATCGCAGTCTGACCGTCTCAGCAGTGTTAGTTTAGAGGAATGTCTATGTCATAGTTTCAGCACATTAATGATGAATTCACAGGGAATCTGCTGTTTAATCCAGTCGAATGGTCCCTATCTAATTTCAGTAGTGGATTTTATGTCTTTATGAACACAGCTTTGCTCAAATAAACTCATCTAAATGCTGTAGCCTACACAGAGCGTTGGGCAGCCATAGTGAATGTATGTCATCATTAAGGAACACAGGGCATCTGTCACTTAATCCCTCAGCTGGTAAATGGTTGAAGATTTGCCATCCGAATTAAAGTTCGATGGCTGAAAAGCTTTTTCTGTTTCATAAATTGGAGTGAAATTCAAGTATTTATTTTCTTATTACTTTTATAAATCGTCAAGGTTGTAATCCAAGGAGGAGGAAGAAGTCATACTTCTGTGCAGACTTTAGGGGATTGGGAGAAACTGGGAATGTTTCTGGAGGAGCTGGGTCATGAAGGCAGACTGGGAATACTGGGACCATCATGAAATCTGACTAGTTCGTTCTGGATTTTGCACATTAAGACAGCCTCCAGATTATAGATGTTAGTGTAAATGAAGGAGAGAGTGAATTCTACTCTCCTGAGAAAAAAAAAATAGACAGTATATAATGACTTAGAGCAAGTTCAATTGATTAAATACAGATAGGAATTTCAACAGCACTGATTCCATCAGTGGGCTGTGAAAAAGCCAAACGCTTTCGTTGTATAACTTTGCAGATCTGTCACTTGATTCCAAGCTCCACTAACTGTTTCACCATTCAGAGGGAGGGATTATTCTCTTGGACACTCCGTTAGGCTGTTAATGTGAAACATCTGTGCGGGACAGCAGAAAAAAAAACAAACAGAAGGGGCTAGAATGGGTCGGCTCTGTTGTGAAGCAGATAAATGAATGCTACTACAAGCCGGTTGAGGAACAGATTCTCCAAAGAGAAAAAAAAACATGCCTAAACGTATAAAACAGAACTCTGGCTAATTTTTTTATTAGAAATATTAGGGGGCCATTCATCTGCTCAGTCAACTTGAAAGTTATTAATCTCCTTTGCACAGAAAGTGTGACCCACATTGAGGCTTTCCAAGTAAAAAGATGATTTCAAAAAGGCTTTCTGTGGCTCTCATGAAGAACACACCTTGGGAAACCGTTGTGTGAACCTTTTTTGGGTCGGACATGGTGCACAGAGCTGAAACGGCGTCCGTCTGGAGGCCGGTGAGCCGTCCTTGGCTGCCGGGATTTACGACGAGGGCCGCGTAATTTTTTTCATCCTTTCCTTCATCTTCTGACCATCACCAGAGGCCAAGGCTGCCCCTGGCGTGAGTTAGATGGGGAGGAGAGCATCGCTTTGGAGAAAGTACCAGACAGATCTGTTGAAGTTTCCCCGCTGTGTTTTTGTAGCGCGCAGAGCCATTTATTTTCAGGAGGATGGGGCTGTAATTTCTATCTCTGTCCTCCAACACATCAACATACATGAAAAACTGCTGTCCAGATCATAATGACCTGGATATTCAGAGGGATTTTAGCGAGCTTTTCACCCACGTTTCCGTTTTCTTGAAGCTAATTGCTGTGTGAACCATGATAAATGATCATGGACCTCCAAATTGTTACATTTAACCGCTCAAGAATGTGTTACTCTCTGATCTGAATCAGCTTTTCTCTGTGAAATCAAAGCTCTCTTGGGTTGTAAGAGAATTAGGACACAATTTATTATGTTAGAAATAGTAATGAGGGGGAAGCTCAAGACTTTTATACAGAGCTGCTTCCTAAGAGATTGCTAACCATCTCATTAGTTCAGGACAGCCTACCTTTACCATTTAGAAGAAAAAAAAGATAATTTTGGTTAGATTTTGTTTCTGAAGACACTCAGTAGATATTAGGATATCAGCAATTTAGGATATTTGAGATCAGGGAGGAAAAAGAGTCAAGCCTACAATAAAATGCTAATTTATCCACCAATGATTAACCTTAATGATTGAAATTATGATGCACAGAGAATCTGTTTGTGTTTGTTCCACTGTCATCCATCGGCTTCACTTCAGATCTGTTTAGGTAGGGTGAGGTGGAACCTGCTCATAGAAATATGACAGAGGTTGTGCAGCAGGTGAAACGGGCCGGCCTGGCGGGCCACGCTGGTCTGACCAGCGGTCAGCGGGCCGCACTGGTCTGACCGGCGGTCGGCGGGCCTGTGGTTGGGTAACACCTGCTTAACGTGACGCAGCGCTGCAGGTCTGAGCTTCTTCTGTTAGCGCCAGACATGACCCAAAAACCCCGACCTGATAAATCTGCCTTTTATCATCCAAAGCTTTTCATCACCTCACAGCAATTACACCCCAGGAGCAGCCAGCTGTGCCATCTAATCACAAAAAGTGTTTGATTATTCATTCATATAATTGTTTATTTATTACAGTGTGCATTACAGTATAATACCAGAACTGCATGCCAGGTCTTTAAAGACTCGTCCCTCTCTGAGAGATGACAATGTGTCGTTCATAAAGCAACTGGTCGTAAGAACAAGATGACAATGAATGAGTTGTATGTGTCTGTTTTCCGTTTGTTCCACCTTCCTGCTGCAGTGAGAGGCCGCCTCGCAAACCCGACCTGAGGTGAATACTGAGCTTTGATCTGTCGCATAAAAAGCAGGGATACATAACGCTCGCCCCTCGATCGATTGAATAATCAATCGATCTGACTGTTTATCTATCTATCTATCTATCTATCTATCTATCTATCTATCTATCTAT